CAGTTCAAGTTAGAACATTTCCAAACATATTTTTATTCAAGATAGAACAAATTAATATTGGAAAAATTCAGTAGAAATGCTCCTAAAATATGTATATTTTAAAATAGTTTCATTTTTCTCTTTCCTCTAAAACATATGTAGAAAAAGAGATTTCATTGCTTATATGACTGGATCATAATGCCAAAAGCCTGTAAATATGATATTCATGACAAAAACTATGCTTAAAACTGCCCCAATTATCCTTTGTTAATATGCTAATAATTACAGGACAATACAGTTTCAGGCAGTGTGAAGAGCCAGAAAAACTAATAGTTCTGATGTTGAATTCTAAAAATATCAACACCATAAATATCAGATTAGAAATATATTTGCAAATCATTATCAAAAATGATAGCCTAAAATTCCATTTTATTGACTTTGAAATTATACTTTACAATCCCCAATTTAAACTTCATTACTTACTGGCTTGTATAACTGAAAGTTTTTATTTTTGCATGTTAACGGTTTTATGAAATGACAAGTAAAATAAGCTTTTATGTTTCCTGCAACACAATACTCTGAAAAAGACCATCTTACTCTCTTTTTCAAAAGTGATTTAATTTTATACATGACACACTAATTATAGATTATGTTGGCATTATACCATTATAAGGTAAGGATCAAATTTGATAGGCTGACAATGTTTTTATAATAAAACCATCATTATGAAAAAATGGAGTAAATTTCACGTACTGTCCTTTTGTCTTTTTCAAGCTTTATTAGCTTATAATAATGTACTAAATAACCGTCATAGTTTTCATTTTAAGTGATCCAAATTTTAGTAGTCTTTTGTAATACTAATGAATATTGGATGTAATATGAACATACATTCTAGTAACTTGGACTTATTTCCAATTATAACCATCTGTTTTCTTTTATCTCCACTTCCCCATGTTGTATCTAGTCACTTGGTCCCATCAACACTTTTATTATGGGTATCTATTTACTATATTTTCTGAAATGGTTCAAACTTTGAGGTAGATATCCCAGGCAGAAAGCATATGTACACAGGCACAGGATTACTAAGGGTTCCTAGAGTCCAGCTTTTCCAGAATTCATTGCTTGCTACTTTTCCTTTTGATTAAATCGAAACACTCTGAACTGGTTTTTTGAAAGCCAGTCATAGAAAAGAATGAAATACCTTCAAGGAGCTACCAGTCCTACACATAATCTACCAAAGAGAGCAGATTGGTGTCCATGGAAACTTATCTACACTGTAATGTGGGTCAGCATCTCGAAGAAGGAGATTAAAACACTGAGCATAATCAAATTATGTTAAATGCACGTCGCTGTATGTCAAAGTAAAACCCATGATTCTGTGCAACTTATTTTCACTAAGAGACGCATTAAAACTAACAAAAATTTTAAAAACTAAAAAACTAACCATACTACAATTATTATGAGCCAATTAAAAATAGAAAGCCAACCATAAACTGCTTATATTATACCTATCTAAATTTATGTCTCACTATTTCCATATAATTCTAGACCACAACAAGTCTATTTTAGATTTTTTTCATTTCCATAGCTTGGCCCATGCCTTTTTTGCCCTTCAATGCCATCCTCATCCCTGTGCAAATTTTCCAAGGTTCCCATACAGTGCCATCCCTTATATGAAGTTTTTCCTCAGAAGCCCAGTCTGTGGTCCCCCCCTTAGCTGATTCCTTCAGAAGTGAACATTCACTATGTTGTTTTTGCTAGATACTTTTTCAGACATACTTTTCAACTTCTTGTTCTACTGAGGCAGGCTGATCAGTATTGGCAACAACCCTGGGCTTGCATGTGTGTTGCGAAGGAAAGTACCAACAGATTAGCAGCTGAGATTAAGTCGAGGGCTGACTAGATCACTTTATGCAGTGACAGCTTCTGTCATGAGATCCTCTTCCAGTGTCTACTTTCCAGATTTCACTAACTGTATCTTCTTCTTAATGTTTTAGGCCTTGGGTAGGAAAGACATTTTATATTAGTTTGAATGGGATCTTTGTTTATTTCAAGAGCCTTAGCTAATTCATTGCTTCATATATTTCTGAAGCCAGCAGAGATTCTACCCTGTGGAAAAAACACTACATTTTGAGCTCATTAATTCTCCTTTTGAAAATTTGGAGTACATTCTCAAGGACAAGGCAGGAGTCATTTGATTGACACGTCTAATTGTGTTGTTCTTAATCAGCAATTAATCAGTGCGGCAGCTAAGATGCACAACTTGTATTTCTTGACTAACATCAGGACTGAAGTCAGGATCAGGTACATAATTTTTAGGGCCTAGTGAAAAATGAAAATTCTGGGTCCCTTATTTAAGAAAATGATTGATCTAGATGCTGCTGGCACATACCCATAATCCCAGCTACTCCAGAACCTGAGGCAGGAAGATTGAGAATTTGAGGCCAGTCTGGACCACATAAGGAGACCCTGTGTCAAAGAAAAAGATTAAAACTTTTGTAATGGCAACAGCAGAGCATTAAGCCTAGTTGTATGACCCTTCTACTATAGTTCCTGTGTGACTGCACAAGTAACACAACTCAGGGCATTCACCCAGATTGAAGGCTCTGCCTACCAGGGAAGCTTAAAAAGCCAGGTAGCAGTATCAAAATCATAACATGATGTGGATCTGAATAGCTTCTGAAACGTATAGGATCCAGAAGGGCAAGAGTGGGTATGCTAAGGCCTGAGATTTATATATATATATATATATATATATATATATATATATATATATATATAGTGACAGGGTAAAAAGGGAAAATGTTTTAGTAGAGGAAACACTTACATGACAGGAAATAAAAGGAACCAAGGGAAGGTAAGAGAGCCATTAGAATAAGATAAGAGTCTGACCACAGAAAGGAGAGAAAACTGTGTGGAAATAACATGGTGCATCATGCAGTATACCAAAGATTCAGCAGTTATTTGGGAGTTATTGGGGTAGTGTCTTCCAGAGGAGTCCTGTGTAGACCCAAAAAATGACTCCATATCCCTACCACATGCGGTCATTGATAAGGAGCAAACTATGGGAACCTTGGCTTGGGTGAAATGCAGTCATGGATTTCAGTATGTAGTAGCCAGGGTCCTTCAATACCAAGTCCCCATAGTAATAAGTCTGCATGTTTTCCTAGTCACCATGGTTGCTGTTAGCTGAAGATATTTTAAACAATTTTGAATAGTTTAGATGCATAAGAGGTGAGAAGCATTCAAGTTGATTGCTTTAGAAGACCTTCCTGGACCCCTACAATGATTTGACTATCTCTGCCATATGCTTTGGAGCTCTCTGTACTGTATCGTCACTATTCATCTCAGTTTATATTTGCTTATTTATTTTTCTTCATATTTAGTTTATTTTCTCTTTGAGAAAAGGATGTGTTTCTGCTTCACTTCTACATCACCTGTGCCTAGATCAGTGACTAACATAGCTTAAAATATTCACTGAAACAAACTGGCAAGCATTCTAGAAAATACTCAGCCTCTATCATTTTTCAAAACTGTCAGTGATATGAAGGTCAAAAAAAGGTAAATAACTGTTGAGATTAAAGAAGGCTAAGGAGATAGGGCAACTAAAAGTAGTGCCTTATCTTAGACCAGGAAATGAAAATGTAGCTATAAAGGCCATTAATGGGGTAATTGTCATACTCAGAATAGAGCATAGATAATATTATAGTATTAAAGCCATGTTAAATTTCCTGACTTTGAAACTGAGCTGAGGTTATATAAGAGAATGACTTTGCTCTTATGAAATAAATAATGAAGCATTTAAAGATTAAGGGGAATGATATTTGTAAAGTATATTGAAATTATTCACATGAAAGTATATAATATATACACAAGTATTAGTGTATTTACACATTTATAGACTGAATGATAAATAATAAATAAAATGTCACAAAATGTTATAATTGATAAATATGGGTGAAGAGTATATAGAGATTTTGACCATTCTTGCAAATATTCCATGAACTGGAAATTACATAAAAATAAAATCCTCTTTAAAGAAGCATTTAATGAATAAAGGACAGAAGGATGATGGAATTTAGAGGTATCTGTAATCTAGTAATGGAGGTACTGATAGAATACACAAAGAACTGAGGAACATATGACCAGTAAGAAAACATGCAAACCAGTTTTAAATGTAAATGAGAAGTGAGGAAGTAGAAAGCAATAATGATAACGTTGGATTTGGCCAGTCTCTTCTGAGAAGCCACTGAATAGAAGTCTAGGTGCTGAATGAGCTTACTTATCAAGCAATTGAAAGCCAGGCAAATGATTAGTATGCTTTTCCTGCAAAACTCTTTCCATTATTACAAAGACTATAATTTAGAACCTACCTGACTTAATTGTATATTTCTTCTACATGTACTAAGATTCTATAAGGCATTTTCCTTGGTCAATCTTTGGTGCTAATTTTTAAGTTGCAAATACAGGATTCTACATTATTACACTTAAACTTCATTCATACTTAATGAACATAGCACTGATTGGCAATCACCATGTTCTTTTGTTTTAATTGTATCTATGGGAAATTGTCAGTTTTGTATAAAATAATATAAAAATTGTAATGAGTGTGATTAAGTCTTTTCTTAATTTTATAAGTAATACATATCAAGCCCAACATACAGATTTTACTATGTGAGTATTATTTAAGAATTTCATTCTAGTGAGCAAAATGTAAATTGTAAGTTTTAAGAAACTAAAATAATCTACTCATCTGTATTATTTCACTGTTTAACTCCCCTTCTCATAGGATTGCTATTTATTACCACATTCCTCAACCATGAGGGATTTAGTGGAACTGAAGACTTCTGATTCACTTTTTTATTTGTTTGGTCGGGTGTTTTGTTTTGTTTTGGGTTGTTTTGTACTGGGAATTGAACTCATGATTTTGTGCTTGCCAGGCAGGTGCTCTTCTACTGAGCTAACTCCTTAGCCCTGATTTGCTTTGTATTTAAAGATTTTTTTTCTCCATTTTTACTCAGATAGTGGATTCCCTGATGAATTGTCATCTCCAAGGGGTAAGCTGTTTTCAGTACAGCCCAGTAGATGCCTTAGGACTCCTTAGATATAGCATTGATTCCTTCTATTTCCTATGTTTTGGTTCTTGTAGTATGACAGAATCCTTGTAGACAAAATTCTCATGCTTAAGTACTGCTAAGCATGAAGTGATTTTAGTTTTGCTCATGTAAGCTGTTCATATAGAAACTGTGAGCTCATATTAGAGAAATAATAACATTTAGCAATGTACCTGTTCAGTATGAGTAAAACTAAAATGAGAAAGTCCAATGATAGAAGAGGGCCCAGAGATCATATGCAAATGAAGACCAGAGAGTAAGTACAGTGTATCTGAAATAATAACATCTGGTAGGGACAACAGACTGGGAACAGAGAGAGAAAGAGCGAGGGGGCGGGGTTTCCTAGGGATCAAACATGGAACCTTGTGCTTTCTATCTAGACAGGCACTCTACCACTGAGACGTACCTGTAGCCTAGATATTGAATGGATATTTTAGAGGTAGCTAGTTTGAGTAATGATTAGATCTAAGGTGTTCTCTCACTTTTGGATTGTTCCATACCCTTGAGATGATGGTCCGTGTATTTCAGAAGTTACACAATTGTCAAGGTGAAGAAATAATAGCAAATAAATAGAGTACACTTAAAAAGGAATGAAATGAAAAGTAATCATTCTCACTGTGTGCTTGTATTCCATTCATTAGCATGAAGGCCTTTCAGTTACTAAACAGTTATTATAATAGAAAATACAGTTATTATAATAGAAAATACTTACATTTATTCCATCTTAAAATCCTTCCTTTATTTCTGGAAAGGAAGCAAAAAGAGAAAATTCTCATTTTGCTATATTTACAAACCACTAAGTAAAAAGAACATTAGTGTATCTGACAAATTCCATAGCAAAACATATTAGTTTTTTACAGTTTGTTTTTGAAAAGGATATTTGTGTTGATCAACAAATGAAATAAAGAATGCAATTTTTTGTAAAGGAATTAAAGATACACAGTTATATTGCAGCTGTGAATCTCCTTTTAAGGAGGTTACTTCGAAGGATGTCATTAATAATCTTCTCAGGTGCTTACAAAGCATGTGTCTGTCAGCAGAATTAGAGAATCACCCAACTAGAGAACAGGTTTCAAAATACCCTGAGACCTATTTTGTTCATTAGAGAGGAAAATGGCTTGTTTTAAGTCTATATTGACATGCTTGCTAATTTCAGTAGTAGAAGCTGTTCATTGTGGTCAGGTTTAATTTAGAGTCTGGAAAGGTTCCGATTAAAGTTGATCGAGTTACTTTTACAACATACTTCTCAAATGAACTTTGAAGTCTTAAAAGAAGAAAAGAAAAAAAGTATAGCAAACACTGAATAAAGCACCTAAAATTGGAAACTAGAGAATGGTCTGGTTGTTTCAGTGTGAACTAATATTAAATAAAAGAAAAATAGCCTAATAATTTTAAATAAAAATATTATATTCAAGTATTAAACATAGTTATTATTTAAATTGTACGCGATTTGTTCAGTGCTACATTCATAGCCTCTAGAATAACAACTGACACTTGAAAAATATTTATTAACATGAATGAGGGAATGAATGAATTTATATAATCTGTTGGCTACATGTATGTAAAATTCTGTATTAAATTTTAGCTAGAGGTTTTGCTTTTTCTGAAGTTTCTGGGTAAATTTTTTTTTAAATTACTGAATGTATTCAGACATTTGAGAGTAGGCAATTCCAAAGTAATTCTTCAACTTACTATGTCATAGATGACCAGAGTGTAACATTCCAATTCTGGAAAACAACTTATTTTGCAAAATCTATCTGACACTATATGCTTCCAACTTTAAAATTTGTTCAGTGCTCTCCAACTTACTTATGCTACTTACTTCAATAGCTGTCTCTGGCAATTTGTTCCATATTTCAAACACACTTTTGTGTAAAGAAACCATAAAAGTTAGAAACCTGAAAATTGGATTTTTCTTCTGAGCAATCACAGCTTACAAATGTGGAAAATTTGTTAAAAGTTAGCCCCTCCAATTTTTCAATAGAGAGAGAAAAAGCTGCTCAAAAGAGATGTGCAATGTTTGGGTAAGTTTTCCTCTTATTTTAATGTTACCAAAAGCAATTCAACTTAAATCACAAAGTCTATCTCCTTATCTCGTCACAAAATAAACCCCATAGAATGATCAAACTTTGGTCTTTCCAAAAACAAAAATCCATAGAAAATCAATAGAGGTCAAAGGGCAGAATAGATAACTAAGTTTTATAAATCTTACTATCTACCACAGTTCATCACTTCATCTCTTCGGGAAGTAGGAAGAGTATCATATTTAAAATCAGAGAGGACTTCTAGGAGGGTTGCAAAACATCTATCACATAGTGGCTATGACTAAGAAAATATTAATTTTTTCTATCCCTAGTTAAAACTTATACTGTTTTAGAACCAGAACTATTTTTCACAATTTTTTGATAAATATCTCTGAGATTTGGATGTTTAATATAGAGAGGAGGCTAATATGACAGCTGTAAGAGACAGATGCGTCAGGAGCAGAGGTATTTCTTAATGATTAACATTGCTACCTATGAAGTAAAAAGTTACTAGTTTTATTCTATCTGTTATTTTATCTAAATATTTAAAATTATTTATTCTACAGAAGAAAATAAATACTAGCATTTACTCTGGTGCTCTCCAAAATTGCCTAATCATGAAAGTTAAGTAGGGAATTTATTAAAATACAGATTTCCAGAGCATCACACTACCAGCTCATTAGTCCTAGGATGGAGAAATAGAGTGTGATGATTCATTATGGACAAGCAGTTTTGGGAAAGACCAATGCTCAAGTATCTCACCTTTTTGGGTTTTTTTCATGTGAGAAATCACAGGTCCAAAAAAGTTAACTAGTATTTCTTAAATCATTTCTCTGTTTTGTTTCTAAACTTAATATACACCTTAATTTTGACAACCCATAAAATAAGATTTCACCTCTAAACACCTTTTTTTTTTCTTTTAAGTACATTGTCATAATTCAGAATTATGTTTCTTATGTAATGGCTTAAGTATACCCAAGTACTCTGAAATTATTCCATCTGTGCTCTACAATAGGGAAACAAAACTACAATCAAGATTTTCAAGTGAAATACTTTTTAGTATCTAAGAGTGAAAACATTTCTTGTTCAGTTATTTTCTCTGAAGCCTTACAGAGTAGAGATTTATATCTAGTAACATCTTTTTTTATTTCTAAAATTGTTTTGGCTGGTTTGAAAATTGGACTTTACTTTGTATTATATAACAGAAACACAAAGAATGTACAAAACTGGAGAACCTCAATATTAAGTGCTGTTTGTTCTTTCAGACAACACTACAGGATTTGGAACAGAGGCGCCCCCAGTTGGAAGAACTCATTACTGCTGCTCAGAATTTGAAAAACAAAACCAGCAATCAAGAAGCTAGAACAATCATTACAGAACGAAGTAAGTCTTTTACTAGAAGTGGGAAATTCAAGGCAAGATACATGAAAATTTTCAATAACAGTTTAAGTTAATATACTCCCATCAGACTTATTTATAAAAAGAGTGCAGAATCATTGTGAAGGATAACTATAACTATTATACTGAATAAGATTTCCAGTTCATAACATTATCTTTCAGTAACTTAATGTAAGTGCCACTGAATAGAGAAACTACCATTTTCATCAATTTGTAGCATGGCAGCTGTGATTGTCACTTGTTGTCTATTTGGATTGGTGACCGTGATGGTGCCAGTCTCTCTATCCTGTTCTTCATTGTTAGGCTCAGCAGGCAGCTGTCTCTGACACCTATCCCATTTGTCTGTGGTGGCACTAGCAGGTAATGGATGTTTCCTGATACTTTGATCCCCCCACGCACATATTTTGTAATAATAAAAATCAGTGTGTAGGGCATGGTGGCACACACTTGTAATCCCAGCACTCTAAGAGATTGCCACAGGAAGATTGCAAATTCAAGCCAAGCCTGGGCAAGATAGTGAGACCCTGCCTCAAAACAAGCAATAAAAATGTGCTGGGGACATAGCTCAATGTGAAGGCTCTGGGTTCAACACCCAGTACCAGAGGAAACACACAACTCATTGTACCATACTGGAGTGAGTAGGAACTTGGGGAAGCTGTGTAAAACCCAACTGCTTGGAAGTCATGCCTCCTTTTCTCCTTTCTATAGAGTTGTTCACAGTGGCCGTGGTGTCAGCATTTGTGCATAGGATTAAGGAGAGAGATAGCAAACCACATAAAATTGCTTCCCATTCAATTTTTCATAGAGAGTCTCCTCAGGAATGAGGTTCAGATCACCTCTGCTCTCCGTTTTCTGGTATCTCCTTGGATTTTCTCCCTTCCTTCCTTCTATCCGCCTTCTCTCTAGGGATACATATCACTCTTGAATTCTTTAACTTTGTGTTTACTAACTCCTCCTTTCCTTTCCTCAACCAGAGGAATATTTATGGTGCAGAAGTAGAAAAGCTTCATACAATCATCTTATTTTTCTTCCATGTATTTTATCTTATACATATCCTAGGGTTTTATTCACATATCTGTATTATTATAGTTTACTTTCTGCTCCATTAACCTTTTCTTAAGGAAGTAGAGGTAAAATGTCTGGCTGCCAATATGTGTGGGAGGGGAAAAGTAACCAGAATAAAATGTCATTATCTGAAAAACATTGTTATTCATTCATATATGCATAAGTAAATACTTAGTGATACTAGCTACATTTAATTGAATACCTTCTAATTGTCAGGTGACATATACATACATGTATAGCAAGTCTTCACAGATAGATTACAAAACAGCTTTCACAAACAGTAAAACAGATTGAGCATAAAAATTGGGAAGCAGAATTTACAATTTGTAAAATTCTTTCTGATATCGTAATCTGTGTTCTAAAAGCTGGGCATGATGGTGCATGCCTGTAATCTCAGCACTTGGCAGGCCAAGGCAAGTGGATCAGTGTGAGTTCGAGACCAGCCTGGGTTACAGCCTGGGTTACAGAATGAGCTCAAGGTCAGCCTGAATTGCATAGTGAGACCTTGTCTCAAAAAAAAAAAAAAAAATCTGTGTTCCTTTTAGTATGTTTACTACTTCCCGTTTAATATTATTGCTTTTGTTAATGACCTTAATCACTAGGACTAATATATTTTTAATCTGCAATTATATATATTTTGATTCTATTCTAAAAGACATTTCCTTTTTCTCAGTGGTTGTTAGTTATTATAGTTTCTCAGTTTTAAATTTTTAGTTCTTTATTATTGCTCAAACAATGAATTTGGATATAATATTTTAGTTAAGAAACATTAGCCACAGGATAACAAATAAGCACCCAAGTCTTAGAGGTTTGTTAAAGTACAAGTTTACTTTTTATTCTGAAATATTCCAGTCCTTTCCTGGGACCCAATCGTGTTACATTTTAATGAGCAGATGAGAAATCAGTGTTTCTTGTGAAAATTTGTCTTACCAGACTTGGAAGTGGTTAAATTAATTTTATTCAGAATATTTTGGCTGCCTGGAAATTGTCACATATCTACATCCAATGGATAGGGAAGTGGGGACATACTGTCCAACATTGAACTGCAAAAGAAGAACAGATTTAAGGAGAAAAACCTAGTTGGTTTTCATAGGTCTATGAAAGTTGTAGAATATAATTGCCATATGCAGCCTGGCAAGAGCAAAAGGGCCTGTAACAAGCAGCATAGATAGCTGTTTCCTTGATAGATCAGAATGTTCCTTTCTCAAACTGGAACAGTGAAGAGTTTCCACCAGGTTCCAACACACTGGCCCAAAAGAGTGAATCTCAAAGAATTAACTCAGTGAGAGATCGAATTCCTATTCCATAGATAAGTGATCTGTTTCTTGTTTAAACAAAATAAAAATTTGGCAAAAACGTTTATATAAGTCTGAACATACTATCTAGTAAATCATTTGTTATTTTGCTAAGGAAAACTAACTTCTTTTCCCTAAGAGGAAAATAGCACAAATAAATTTTTACAGTGTCTGTTCAACATTATCTACTTTCCCTTATCCTTTGCATTTTTTATAGTTCATTGACTTTTTTCATGGTGCAGATTGCAATTGCATGACTAGAGGGCAACTTTGTGTTTCTCTACTAATATCCAATGATTTGAATAATTCTCTGTGTCTATGCTTTTATCTTTTAGGAATGGTGCCTTTATGAATATTTGTAGACTAATGGAAAGATTACAATCCCAATGGTCCAAAGAAACATTTTCTTAAAAGCAAATGTCTGTTGAAACATGGCATGTTGCTTATTAAATTCCTACGCTAAAATGTTAGATCCAAATATGCCTAGAGTTTCTACTGCTGGTGCTAGGATAATTTTGACAAGTTATGTTTATCCAAACAATGTCATTTCCAGCCCTGCTGAGTTTTAAAGTATTTGAAATCTATGAAATGGGAAGGAAACTCAATGCTCATAAAGGTTCAATAGTGTTCCAAGTAGAATTTTCTTAGTGTACATTTGGATTTTTGGGTAAGGGCAGAAATGAAACACTTGCTGAAAAAAACTGTATTTTTCCATGTTACAGTTTTGGACTTCCTGTTTTATTGCCCTGAAACTTGTAGAAATACTTAAGAAGGAATCAGCTAAATAAAGAAAAATATTTAATATGTGTTTATATTGAAACTTTTTTTCCTTTGTGTAAGTCCCAGTTTGTATCTTTGAGCAGATTTGGGAAGCTATACATAGTTATTACATTCTTTCAAGAGGAAATTCCAGTAAACTAGCAATTCTGTATTATTAGTAAGAGTCACACTAAAACTCAAATAATTGGATCTGCAAAATACCAAACAATTTTACCCTAAAAAACTACTTCCATATCTGTTATCTTCAAGTAATTATATTGATCAAAATCATGTCATAATATGGGCAGACGAGTAATTTTATTCTACATAAATTCAATTTATAAACTCTCCTTTATGTTTTCTGATATTCATATTTCTTGCTTCTCTTCACCACTTGGGTTGGTAAGCATTTCTGGTTATTTTTTTCTGAAAAATGCCTAGGTCAGGGGACTGAAAAAAATCAAGGACAATTTACATTTTCCTCCTTAGAAGTGTTGGGATTATGCAAAACTCCTGTCCATGTCCATTAGTACTTCACAGCACAATGACATAATGCCTCGCATTTGAGAACCTTGCAACCGTCACCTTTCCTTTAATAATCCCCACCATTAACATTTTAAATATACATAGTAGTAGCACATTTAGGTTTTGAAATTAGGCTTCCTGGACTTGCCCCTTAGCTTTGTGATCTTGAACAAGTGACTAATTTCAATAAATTGTCTGATCTCAGTTGCCTGCTCTATGAAATAGGATCACTTGTATTTACTTCCATGGTTAGGAAAATTAAATAAGGACTTAGATCAGGGCCATAGAAGCTGAATGTTACTTCCTATTTTAATTGTAAGATATTTGAGAGCTTGAATCGCCTAATGGGAAAGGCTTTTATGAGCTTTTTTTGGTAGCAATTTGATTATTTCCCCCACCAAAGCTGGACTAGGGGTTCAAAAAAGCAAAAGGAGAAGATTGTTTGGAAAAGATGAATTAAAGCATACATAGAGTTCATCAAAGGTTTGGAAAAGACATTGAGAAAGCAAGGAAATCCATACAAGTTATTTCATTTTCGAGATTCATAAATTTATGAGGTAGATACTGCTATTAGTATTTCAGAGATAGGAAATAAGCTCAGAGTATGAAAGTAGTTTCTTTAAGGACTTAAGAAGATGGCAATTGAAGGATTAATTGAAACCTACATCTATATGATTTTAAGGCCTGAAACACATCAAATGGAAAAGGATGATTAGTCAAAAACTAGGAAAGAGTACCTATTTTTGAACTGTAAATATTGACTAACCTCCTTATTGTAACCTGAATATAAATTTTGCTGCTCCAACTTATAATGCTATCTTCTATTTCTTCAGTTATAATCTAATCTTATCTAATCTAATCTAATCTCTTCAGTTATAATCTAATCTATAATCTTCAATTATAATCTAATTATAAAATTATCTCTTAAATATATTGTAGATTATGGATTAGTACAATTCAATAATGTATTAGCTTTGTGATCATGACCTAGTAGATTTATTTCTACTTGTCATGATTCTCTCATCTATTATATGGAGACCCAAAATGGCACTTAATTTAGCAGACTGATTTTGGAAAGATTAATTACATGATATTTGTAATGCAACTATGTAGCACATCCTAGATTCTCATTAAATGCATATATTTTCATGGTGAAATAAATTTGGTACAGAGGAACTAAACATTGGAAGCTACGAAAGGTGTACTATATAGATTTCAAAACAATTAAGCCATGCAAAGACCTTCTGAAACAGAATACCACATCTAAAGAAAAAGCTGTTTCTTTTGTAATTATTTAAGGCTTTTTAAAAACAGTCCAGAATTCTTTGAAAAATTTGGTGA